AATAGAGAAAATTTTGGATACCCTATCTCCGTTATTATACATTTACGCCGGTAATGTAATAGATGAAAATTATCTTATAATTAGACGTCTTATTAGAATATTATAATAGATTAGTGGTAGGAATGTGTGGTGTGTAAACGCAAAAATACCAAAATTTCTTTCCTCCAACTTTTTTGGGATGTTCTTGATAAACCGAAGAACTTTTTTTATCGAAAATTGTTCTAAAAAGGCTCCTTAACCTGGGCACCTGCTCTTGAATATTACACCATTTAAAGTTTTATGTAATAGGTTAAGTTTTGTAATTTTTTTAAGTTTTTTTATCCTACAATTTCCCTTTACTTCACAGCCATACCCACTTTGTGTGATCAAAAATGTGTTTTTAATGAAAATTAAATTAAACAAAAAATTCCGTGAAAACGCTACAGAGTATTTATTATTTTTATTTTTATTTTTTGATTTATCTCCTTAAATAGAAATCAATATAGAGTTCCATAGTTGTCTTTTTTTCCGAATCTACCCTAACTTTTTTCCGGTGTTACTAGAGTGTGCGGTCTACCGGGATATGAGTTTCATTTCTTGGACAAATTTGTCGTTTGGTAGATAATTCGGCCCTTAAGCTCGCACTTCGTCTTCCCTCGCGATAAATCAGTGGATTAGGCCGACCCACTCCCTATTTATCTTCCGCACAGTGTTTAGTAAGTTATTTCCGTTTAATACGCCGGGGGGGGGGTTAAGAAGTTAGATAAGGTTAAGTAGGTTTCTTTGGTTAAGTTGGTGCGGTCTTTTAACAACGCTTCGGCCGATTGTGTTTCTTATCAACTGTTAGGTTTTTAAAGGTTAGTTTTGAGTTAAAAAGAACCACATTTTAACAACTACGACAGTGTCCGCTGCAAAATTCAGTGAAATTACGGCAATTTAAAATGAATTTTCCATGAAAAATGAGCGACGGGTAGGTCGCCAATAGTTTACCTTGTGTTGTCATTTATTGCATTGAGGCTCGATGAGCTTTTTTGAATGGCCCCCAGTTCTGAGAGAAGCCGTATCCCATAAAATTGGCCAAACGGCCAACTTTATGACCTATAGCAAACCTATCCACCAATCACGTCTTAATGTTCCAGGCCTTTTAACTAGGCCGGAACGTTTATATTATATTGGGTTTAGTAGCGAAACCCAATTGTCTGTTATCCATTTATTTAGGAACTACTAAGACAATTCCAAAGTGTAAATCAACCATAACTTAATCACTGTAGCTATGAGTGTTAAGAGAAGGACAGAGGCTATGTAAATAGACTTGCTTAAATACGTCTGACCTATGTGAGTCGTCGAGTAACAATGGCCCCAGGGCGCCGGCTTCTTAATGCAACTCTAAGCAGTTACTGGCCGCACCTTAGGGAGCTGCCGATCACGTGACATGAACATGCCAACTCATAGCCAGTGGAAAGTTACAGGGGGTGATTATGTATATAAATCAAGAAACAGAACGATTATATAAATGGGTTAATTACACGTCGTTACACGACCAATACCCATACTACTACTGCGACGATGCCGTTTGGAGACACGGGTTACCACAGGGGATGTAGGAACACATTTTCGCAACTGTTCGTGTTATTTTGGATGAAAATGATGTTGGAGGGGCGATATTAAAGTGTTGCGTGGTGGAAGACAACGAAAGTGATGATCCGACCCGATTGGTAATAATATGTAAACGGGTTTCTGTTGGGGAGTCTTAATTTGAAAGTTAGTTTGATTTACAGGTACGGTTAATCACCGGAAATATGACACCAAAGCAGTAGTAGTAGGACCCTCACTCGCCAATCAAAAATGTCAACAGCCATACATTGAAGAGAGCTAGTAGTGAACCATCGCACTGATGGTTATAGCCTATTATATACAGTCGTTTCATTTTGTTAGTTCGTGAATCCATTTCATCACTTACCAATAATTGACAAAAATTAATATAAACCTTGCAGAGGCTGACACACGGTAAACCTTTTTACGTGTAGTCATGCCAAGGTGGGTTTTGTTATTCAAAGTTTCTAAATGTAAATGAGAGAAATAAGTCTCGTTTTATATACTGTATATTATTAATGTACCCTTCCTAATTTAACTGTCTCACATTGACAGTCCGTAAATTTTTTTGGGTTGTTAGGTAATGTTTTTCGAAGATTGCATGAGGATTCCCTGTGGTCCAGATCCTAAATCCTGGTGTTCTGGCTGATCATATTAAATAGACATATACAGTAGGATCATTTCCGTTACATAAGGTACAACCTGAAACATGATTATTTCTGTTGTGAAGTGTTGGAACCATTGACAGTTCACTCTCTTCTCTGCCTTGGAGTGCAAGTTCACGAACAACATGCGATTTATTTAGAACAAATTTCATTTTCTCCCATAAAGATTTCTGTAAAGCCACTGGGTTCAGTGGCATATATCAATGAAGCAACTGAGACTAAAAGCTTCAGGTCCAGTATTCGAGGACGATCAATTCACGTTGTGTATATATATATATATATTTTTTTTTTTTGGGGGTCGGGGCCTTGTAACTACTGTTTTATTTTAGCCAACGGCACAATACACTGTATTAATGACCTTATGGTTGTTTACTCAGTTAGTCTAAAGACTGTATCCGTAAATTGTGTAAATATACTATACAATGTACTTGTATAGTATTGTTAAATAAGTGTCGAGAGAAAAGGGTCCTCAAAATAAAAGTAATCTCAGGCCCCGAGTACGTTTAATCCGCTCCTGACGGGGTTGGTCTCTCTATACAGGGTGTGGGTACTGGTGAACCTACTGGCTTAGGAGTTAGTTTGTTTAAAGGTTATTAGAAAAACAAATAATGTGGAAAAATCAGATTTCAAAATGTTTTAAATCGTTAATTCTTTTTGAAATACGGCAGTTATCGTAAATGTAGTATTGTATAGATCTGTTCTGTTGATATACATGTTTCTAAAGCTAATACTCTAGACCTTTTATACGAGTGTAACATTCTTCTGTCGAATAGGATTTAGTTTAGTACAGGTACGTGTTTAACTTACATCCGTCTAAAGGACTTTTATAGTTTTAGTTGGTTATTGAACTTATTGGTGAGAATCGGGCTTTTATCATTTGAAAGTTAATCATACCAGTTTCGGATGCTAATACTGTTTTGGGTAATTATTTGGGACTTGACTGTTGTTTGGTGGACGGTTTTGGTCAATATCTGATGCTTAATGCAATGCAGATCGAGAGTTCAGAGGGACTGGGACGATACCATCTTCGTCGATAATTTCTCCGCTAACAAAACTTGTCAAATCGGAAGTTTATTTTTTTAGCGTTTCCACAGAAAAGACTCTCTCCATTGCATTGAGCATCAAATATTGAGCAAAGTGAGCCCAAAATTCCCCTCCAAACTAGCAACAGTCAAGTTCCAAATATTTGACCTGTACTGTATTCTCAAATATTAAATTTCATTTCATGTATTGAATACACTCCAGATTGACCCCTAAAAGCTGCATGTCTACAAAGAACTGTTTCTATACATTTATATTATAATATTCATCCACTTTTATAAATTTGAGGCTTTTTTTATATTTTACTGAACAACAATCAGGTTTTCTTCTAGATTTCGTTGTTGTTTTTCCTGGACTTATACTGTAGATCCATTAACTAACCTAAAATTTGACTCAAACACGGATAATGAATAATAATCAATGCTAAAGATTCGGAAATCTTTTATTTTTACAATGCTAATGGGAATTATGCTAACCCCATGTCGGATACAATGACATTATTAAGAAATTACTTACCTGAACAATATACAGTAATAATAATCATTGTAATTCGCTGTAAGTAGCTCGTTTACACTAACGGTACAAGATCTCTTCAGTTTCATGTTCTGTACCGATTTATGTTGGTGTTTATGTGTGTAATAATGTTGTTCCAAGAGGAGAAGGCTTGTTTAAGTTAGTAACGCATGGACGAGAAGCAGCTTGGCCATTGTTTAGGAGGTCTTGTTAAGGAGCGGTGTACAAACTTGTGGGAGGCTTGTAGGTGGATGTAGGAGGCTTGTAGGTGGGTGTGGGAGGTTTGTAGGTGGGTGTAGGAGGCTTGTAGGTGGGTGTAGGAGGCTTGTAGGTGGGTGTAGGAGGCTTGTAGGTGGGTGTAGGAGGCTTGTAGGTGGGTGTGGGTGGCTTGTAGGTGGGTGTAGGAGGCTTGTAGGTGGGTGTGGAGGCAGGTGGGTGTAGGAGGCTTGTAGGTGGGTGTAGGAGGCTTGTAGGTGGGTGTAGGAGGCTTGTAGGCTTGGGTGTAGGAGGCTTGTAGGTGGGTGTAGGGAGGCAGGTGGGTATTTGTAGCTGTAGGTGGGTGTAGGTGGGTGGATTAGGTGGATCTGTGGGGGATTGTAGGTGTCCTGGAGGGTGTCCTTGGGAGGATTGTAGGTGTCTGTGGGAGGATTGTAGGTGTCCTTGGGAGGATTGTGTCTGTAGGAGGATTGTAGGTGTCTGTGGGAGGATTGTAGGTGTCTGTGGGGATTGGAGGTAGGTCTGTGGGGATTGTAGGTGTCTGTGGGAGGATTGTAGGTATCTGTGGGGATTGTAGGTGTCTGTGGGAGGTCGTAGGCATCCTGGGAGGATTGAGATGTCTTGGGAGGATGAGGTGTCCTGGGAGGATTGAGGAGGATTGTAGGTGTCTGTAGGAGGATTGTAGGAGGATTGTAGGTGTCTGTGGGGGATTGTAGGTGTCTGTGGGGGGATTGTCCTTGGGAGGATTGTAGGTGTCCTGGGAGGATTGTAGGTGTCCTTGGGAGGATTGTAGGTGTCCTTGGGAGGATTGTAGGTGTCTGTAGGAGGATTGTAGGTGTCCTTGGGAGGATTGTAGGTGTCCTTGGGAGGATTGTCGGTGTCTGTGGGAGGATTGTCGGTGTCTGTGGGAGGATTGTAGGTGTCCTTGGGAGGATTGTAGGTGTCTTTGGGAGGATTGTAGGTGTCTGTGGGAGGATTGTAGGTGTCTGTGGGAGGATTGTAGGTGTCCTTGGGAGGATTGTAGGTGTCTGTGGGAGGATTGTAGGTGTCTGTGGGAGGATTGTAGGTGTCTGTTGGCGGGTTGTAGCTGGCACCAGGGGTTTGCACGGTTGACTGAATCCCAAAAGCTCCAGTACCACCAAATCCAGTACCCACTCCAACGTTATTTAGACCACTACCAGGGCTACCACCTGCTCCAGTGCCGGCGATGACCTGACCATCACCTTGGATTGCAGAGTTGAGGGCGGTCTGGAAGTCTATACCACCAGGCAGGGTCGGGTTATCTCCTTCACCATAGTTGACGAAGTACACCTCAGGGTTCTCGGACGGTGGAGCAGGAACCTCGATGACTCGCTGACTCTGGTCTGACTGTTTGTTGAGGACGTACACTACGTGTTGCTGCCTGGGCGGCGGCACGATGATGGGCTCAGGTCCCTGGCCTCCTTCAGGAGTGCGGATGAACAAGATGTTTTGGTCCACCTTAGGTGGTGGGATATGTGGTGGTGGGCCATAAGACGGGGGCAGTTCAGGAACGGTGTAGAGGAACAGGCGGCGGTTAATTGTGGGAACAACACAGGTGCCGTCCACATGAAGGATTTCCCTATCTTTACAGCCTCCGCTTGAGTATGTTACAGGCGGGGGAGTGGGCACGCTGTAGCCTTGGAAATCAGCGGCTGTGGCAGCCAGAAGTGTTGATATCAAAACCTGTAATATAATGTTTTGTTATCCACCCAATGAATGTAATGTAAAAATAGGTTTGAGACATTATTTCATACGGAGGGCTTAAGGTTTTAACCTAGTGTTATACAATGTTTATGCAACCCCTAAAGCTACGATCACACTCGAGTTTTCCCTGCAATAAATCCACGATAGCATTTCATCCACAGGCAATAAGTCAACAGTACGATCGTCACACTGGTCACACTGACGAAAGGAGCCATTGGCCAGGTGCCCGGGCTTCATTGCATGTTTGCATGGCAGCATTAACCGCTTTAGTGAGATGTGTGGTCCTGTTAAAGAAGACCAAGGCGAAAAAGAAACGATTGTAGCGTCCAAGCGAAGTTTTACAAAAGTGACACAAGTACTCGAGTCAAATGAAATTCCCGTTGTGATGTATTATTATTATTATTATTATTATTATTATTATTATTATTATTATTATTATTATTATTATTATTATTATTTATTTATTTACTATGGCATTTTTGCCCGTGTTTTGTTATTGAAATATACTTACAAATTTTTGTACACTTTAACTTTAATAAGAAGACATAAGAACGGTGTAAATCTTATTAATACAATAGACTAGCAAATTTCAACCCACCGTACCGTGGATTCTCAGACGCTTCGTATCGTCCCATTTTCGACAACAAATATGTTGTCGCTGTACAGACAACTTGAGCAGTTCGTTGAAAAATCAACGCTACGGTGAATTTATTCTGAGAGGAAACATTAGTGTGACCACAGCTTTACGAACAGTAGACTTTTACTTAAGAAAAAAACAAAACAAATATCCCGGAAAACATCCTTAACGAATCCCAAGTATCCAAGATCCACTTTAACGGCCTTATCGTTTCCTTACACTGTCCTCTGTCTACACTGTTCCTAACGGGCAGTCTTGCCTATGGGACCTTCTTTCACCTTTTCAACTGCAGGCTGCAAGGAATGCTCAAGTCACTCCTAAACTTCGTCAGGTTGTTTTCAATGCCAAAATTAATGGAATTTCTGAGTGGATGGCACCGGCGGGCGCAGGTTGGTGTCTGTGCCTTGCCTAAACTCTCTTCTTCATAAAGACGTAATCTTATGTTTAATGAAGTAAAATTAAGATAGCACTTGGAGAGGAGCGTCAGCCCCTTCGTGATTCATTCACCTGTGAAACATTATCTCCGCTAAGTGTGACGTTCATATCAGATGCTCGTGTACTTTCAACACCTTGTATTCTTCACTGTTGTGGTTATGGTTAAGTGCCCCCCCCCCTCCACACTTACCAAAAACAATGGTTTTAGTTCCACGTGGACCACTGTATTCTAAAGCACAAGAAACTACTTAATGAATGAACAGCAGCTGCTTATACTGTAGAACATTTGGTGTCAGGATGGAAGGTGACCAAAACATGGTGCTGTTACTGGAGTGTTCTGTAACTATGATGTAATGTGGTCAACACCATATTGTACAGGGACAATGTACCGTAACTTACAGACCAGTGTTGATAGTGAGGACAGAGGTGAGGCAGAAATAAAGAGAGGAAAAAAGTAAATGTACAGAGAAGTTGCATTATAAAGCTAAAATAGAGTTGTGTATTCAGATTAAATATATGAGGAAATAATTATTGTAGAGCTGTGGATGGGCTCACCCGTGGTGGGGCTTCGGTGCTTCTACCATCACCGAGGTTTCATCGGGGCAGACGACCTTAAGGACCCCTCTTTGTCGTCCTTCACCCTCTCGAGCGCATTTCGGGCGATCATCTTCTCTACTCCCTCCTTCGACACCTTGAAGTCGACGTTGGGTGTACTTATCGCGCACTTGTCTTTGGGCTTCTTCCCCAACACCGCCACTACCACACACATAAAGAGCCAGCGACACCAAGAGAAACTTTAAGTTCATTGTATCTAATTTATCTACTTGTGTTATTAATGTAACAGAAAATTATTTATCTAGATAAAAGATAGTTTTGGAAAGAACTTGAGCGTTAGAGGAGATTCTTGAGGTGGTGTTACGGTGTACACAACCTTCACGTCTCTGCCTAGTGGTTCATATTCTGGCCGGTCTCTCTTAAGGAAACTGAAATCCATTTACAAAATAAATATAAAGGCCGCACAGTCAGACCCTCCCGTGTAGAAGTAACTCATAATATAATATGATTCCTTTTTGCGCGTGTGTGTTTGCGCGCGCGCGTGTAATCCATAAACCTAGAAGTTAAACAAGTGCTTCAGGTCGATCTATTATACACCGAGGCAAACAAGCACTAACGACCCTCCCGCACTAGATGTATTCCTCCACACATGCAACCTCTTTGGACAACCTTGCCGATCCCGTTTCACCCGCTCGAGCCACCTCAGAGCTCACCAACGAAAGTGACACCACTAAAGAATTCCATTATTTAGTCATCGCTGTGTGATGTTCACTTTTCTCGGAGTGACAGTAAAGAGAGAGAGAGAGAGAGAGAGAGAGAGAGAGAGAGAACGTGTGCGTGTGTTTTCCTTGTATGTTGGTATTTTTGCCCCGACAATCTTGAAAATCACTGTCCTGCTGCTGACCGGCAATAATCAAAAGGCGTCAGATGGAAATCCTAACTTTCCTCTTCCCCTAGATATTTGTAGTGCCATCACTGCTCATAACGGGAAAATCATGATTGAAACGCTGAAGTTTTCAGTAATGTCAATATAAACAAAACAAATGGGACTATTATTCTGTATTATATCCGTCATATAGAAATTATCAGAGTGCACAGTACAGTACTGGCAAAAATCATTTTGAAAACATGTGTGTACCACGGGTCGGTGATGTACTCCAGGTGGGGTACATAGTCTAAATACAGCACTAATGTGTTATTATTAGTTAGTCAAATTATTAGTAAGATCTTTCCTCTTATTGCAAAATTAAATTTAAATGATTTAGTTCCGTTTCCTGTTGAATATGACTACATAAACATCAGGGATTTGGGTGTTGAACACGTGTATATTTTGTGTTTACAGCTTGTAATGTAGCGTCAAATGTCTGATAGACAACCAAAGAGTAAGAGGCAGGACTCACCAGGAGGTTCATGGTGGAGTGTGATGTCGGAGTAGGTCGTCCGCCGTCTTATATACAGGTATACTCATACCTCCATTCCCTCTCTTCTCCAGCAGCCACGCTTTTTATCCGTCCTGCGACAATACACACAGTTGTGCCCCTTACAATGAAGGCTTTGGCATGTGGCAGCGCATTGATTTTCTGTAACTACAGTAGTACTTCCCAGCAGTAAAGAAATAACTCGGTAACTATAAGAGTTATTGTTGATGTTAGTCGAATAAAAGTTGCCTTAATGTAAATACTGAACTAGACTTGAACAACATGGAGATCTTTCAGAGGAAAGCATAATGTATTAGGAATTTCTGACATGACCTATCTACCGTCATTTCTATTGTTCCTAACCAAGAGAAACATGCCATCGGGTTCATAGAGCCGTATTTTGTCATACAAAGCATATTTCCAATTCCGGAACAGCTGATGTGCCTCAAGAAAGAAAAGTGAATGGGCGACAACTGTTAGTTTCATATTTAGATATCTGTCGCTGTTTCAGTATTCATTGATGTTTCAATAATATTTTTCTGAGAAATTAAGTAAAATAAATACGTGTTCGTAACAGTAGAAACACTAAATTCTGCCAAGATGGACGGCTCTTACATACTAGATTGCTGAGCACCAGACCAGCCACAGCCTTGGATACTTGGTTTGTTTATAAAATTTGTCAATACAAGTATTTTAGTATAGATGGGTCACGGAAATTAGCTTATTTGCTGTACATTAAACTTAAAATGGGTTAATTCTTTCAAGCTATTAGCCGCCCTCATCAAACTTGCCAAAACGAATTCCATCGCTCTTTTCTGGTGCTTATTGGCGAGTATAACGGTAGGTCCTCTTAAACTGATTGACATATTTCATTGTCTCGCAGCAGTTGGAAATAATATATTTTTGGGGAGCTCTTAGGAAGATAGTTGCCATACGGATGCAGCTTTTCTCTCTAGATATCAAAGTCTTTCATTTAAATGCCTTTAATACCTGTACTGTACTACTTACAACAAATAACATCCATTAGTTGTTAAAGTAAATTAACACATTGGGGAAAAATTGTCATTCATTTTAGGTTAGATTACTCATTAAATGTTGATCTTGCTGAAAATTAACTGATATCGCATATTATTAAATAGAACATTCGAATATAATTATAACTTAATAAATTACCCCTGGGTGTTGACGTAAGCTGGAAGCCGTATATACTATATACGGCTTCCAGCTGCTAAACTATATACTATATAGTTTAGCAGCTTTATTTTATTGACAAGTGTATAGTGGTGACCTGCCAAATGGTCCCAGTGTTAACCCAAATATTAAGAGTGTGATCTTGTCATAATGGTCCAGGTCCTAATGCTTTTCAATATTATGAACCCTGTCATAAACATTAGATTAGATTAGGTTGGGATTTGATAAGATTGTGTGTCATTGAACCAAAATATAAAATGTTCGGTTCATATAACTACCGGTTCTGTACTGTATTTCTCTGGGAAGCTGTATACTTTATGATTTATTCGAGTGAACGTTACACATTTGTACAAGAAATGCACAACATTAACTATGTGCCATAAACATCCTTGAAGATGTACAAAAATAAATTATGTTTTAGAACAATAACCTCATTTTGAACATTGCTGAAAGTGACTTAAATGTCACGAGTCTGTTAACGGTGGGCGAGATCTCTAAATTTCTTATTAAAATGCATGAAATAATAAGAAACCAATAACTGATTTGGACTAGTAGCTAATGCTAATAATTCAGTAACTGGTTTAGACTATAGTAATGCTGATAATCTTTTTAAGAGTAAATTTTTAGCAATGTATTGCTAGTTTGTCTGCTCCCTCAAATTCCTAGGCCAAAGTTTTAATATTCATGGCAGCATAGTTAGGGGCCGTGACGTAGTGATGTTTGGTGACGTTCACAAATTTTGAATATGGTTTTCCAAGTGATGTATTAATGCTTGTATGTTTACTTCTATTATTTTAATTTTTTTTACTGAGGGACACGTTAACCTGTAACTTGGAAGAATTATTTTTTAACTCGAAAACAAATTAATTTGGAGTTGTGATCATCTCCACTTATTTCATACTAACTACAGTAGGGTCCAAAAGTTATGGAGGGTGTGGGTGGGTGCATATCAGTTAAAATAAGTATTGTTGGTAATTATTAACAAGATGAAAATATACTTCGAAGCTTTCATCTTGACGAATAAGGCTTTCAGATTTAAATGGTAATAACAAATTGCATAATGCTGAGCTTCCTCCTCACCCCAGACACATTCACAGTACAGTAGTTTGCAGTGCTTGGTGTAGTAAATATTCTGCAGGGCCATTCGTGCTCACAGGCCCACAGTACTGACAAAAGCATTCCAGTGTAGTACAGTAGTTATATTTTTTGAAAAGTGCGTAAAATTTATTTCATTTCGTGTTGACTGGAGTCACCAATGTCATAGCTATGTACATTGTACAGTATTTCAACTGTGTTTTTCCGCTGTGCGAATACCTACCCCCTAGTGACTGACTCACATTCTGTCTCAGAGAGTTGACTGACGCGCTGATCTATTGGTTAACCGTAAACATGCAAAATAAAGTTGATACAGTAGTGTAGTAAAATAAAACAATGAGGAAATAACTGGGTAGGGCGGTGGTGGGGCACACATGGTCGTGTTCCTCACCGCCCAGAAGGTCTCGTTGGTGCAGGTGACCTTCATAGACTCGGGCAGGTTGTCTTTCACCTTCTCGGCGATCATCTGCCTTACGGGGCCCCCTCACAACATGATGTTCCCATCGATTTCGGGCGTTCCGACCGTGCACGTGTCTGTGGGTTCCTGCCCCACCACTGTAGCAACTTTATTTGTTTTATTCAGTAAATAATTATTGAATTTTATCGAGACAAAACACCAGGTTTTGGTAACAAATTCAGTGTGAAGGGAGGCTCTGAGGTTGGGTTGTGTGTATTCAACCTACACGTCTCTGCCGAGTGGCGCTTAATATTCCACTAGTGAACCTTTGTTCCGTCCGGCGCATATTCTAGCCAGTCTATGTTAGTTTAAGTTAGATAAGAATTATTCAAAACAGGTCAAAAACCATCGGAAAAACGGGGATGACCGAGAATATAATTTTACCATTTTAAGTACTGTATCGCCCTTACATCTATTTATACTCTTCGATCATACACTATCTTCTTACTTTGTCTCTACATAATGTAAATTGAGTTTCTGTAATCTGTTTCTATATGGAATTTTTCTAATGCCCGGAATTAGCTTGGTCATCCTCTAAATGTTCTCAGGTGAATTTATATCCATCCTATATTACGGTGACCGAACTGAACTGGGTAATCCAACTGAGTTCTCACCAATGATGGATCTAGTTGTGAAATAACACGACTACTCCTGTATATATCGCTCCTAGAAATAAACCCTAGTGCTCTGGTAACTATATTGTGTACATAAACACATTGTTGCCTGGGTTTTAGTTCCCTACTAATCATTACCTCTAGATATATCTCACTATATGGTCTGTCTGTGTCTACGTTGGTCAGCTTATGGGTTAATGGCTTATTTGCACTTTGTATCCTTAAAACGTAACATTTCTTTATGTAAATTGCACTTTCCGTTTTTAGGTCCATAGTAACAGCTTGTTTAAGTCTTTCTGCGCGTCTTTTTTTGTGTTTTTAGCTCTACTTAGGTTGCTGTTTATGTCTAGTATCATTAATATTTATACTAAACAGTAAGGGTCCTAGGACTGAGGCCTGAAGAACACTCTTGTAATATTTCCTCATTTGGGTTTTGTACACTCAATGCTTGACCCTCTGTTTCCTTTACGTTAACCATGTTAGTATCCAATTGAGAATGTCCTCTTCAGTGTTACTTGTGTCTCTATTCTCTTTAGTCTTTCATGTAAGTCACTGTCAAAAGCTTTGTGTCTGTGATAAATTGAGGTACAGTAGTATGTAAATAAATGCTCAAGGTGTCTGCTGTTGAAGTGCGATGTACTTGTTTAGATGACGAATTATAAGTATCATCGTAATTAAAAAAAAAAAGGCATTGCGCAGAAGCATGGCATGATCAGTCTCTTCCACTTCCAACTGGTACAATCAGCGTTGTCAATGCGCCCTCTCTGTGTAGTGTGAACCCGGGGGAAATCGACTCTTGTATCCGAACCATTCACGGGCACGGGAGGGAGGCCGGGGGAGGCTTGTAACAAATTCATTTTAAGTAATTTCAATAAGAAAATAAAGCTTTAGGAAAATGAATATCAACAGACCACCTGTTACAAGGTGAGCAATATATAGTGATTCAGTTTCTTTCTAGACTCATATTTTTACTGAATAAATTTTCCTCATAACATAAAAGCACCTCCAAGACTAAGAGGGGGTACAGTTGGCTCTCGTCGTACCCTGACACTTATCCATCTCATTAATACGAAAAACTATGTATTATTATGTAATGATTTATTGAAATGTTCGAGTCAATTGGAAATATCAATGGCGTAGAAGCCGAAGATGATGTCATGGTAGTAGCTACTGTGACTCGCTGGAATAGTTGGAGACGTTACAAGTGCATATCAGGACTCGATCAGATCATCATGATGGAGTGTTGACGTCTTGAGCAGTTATATTTCCTCTTTTTATAAGCTCCCCACCACCTCTCCCCCAAGCACTTGCCGTAGAAGTCGTGATACACATTTCACTACACGTTACGTGCGTCTAAGTGTACATTACATGTAGACGCGATATGTGGGTCACCTTTAGTACATGTTCAGCTTATTACTTTAATTACTTCTCAGAATACTTTTCAAATATATTACTGACAGTGAAGAAGGGAAATTGTTTGTGTTATTACTGTTATATAATTTGCTGAAAGAATGACTATCATGGATATACTGATTTTGACCATATATATAAAACTTCTTGTTTGGTTTTAACAAGGAACATGTAATGCATTTATTAGGCTCGAATTTCTCCTCATCACTTCGATACACAAGAATTTGGGTTGGAAGGTCATGGCACTTATAATTATTTAACCACATTTTATACGATTTTGAAGTTGGGTTAAACTTAATGTCTAGTGTTCCTGCAGAAAAGTTTTATCTTAAAGTAGTCTTTGTTATGATATATAGTTGTTTTTAAACGATTTAGATATCTACTGTACCTAAATTATCCCGTACAGCAGGGGTGGCGGAAGCTCATGAGGTGTGAGGGGGGGGGGGATATTGGACTCATGAGGGCTCTTCGCGGCCACCTGTTATCTTCACAGCTAATAATAATCCTTGAGGGTGTAATGGGCATGGCTGCTTCCCTGGAACGTTAACTCAAGGCAGTTCCGCAGCGATGGGACGCAAGTAATGTATGTGTCTTGAGCTGGGCACGACTATGCAAATGAAGCCGATTGTATGGCTTTTAGTTTTTTTTTCTTTTTTTTTTACAACGTAATTTATTTCTCAAACGAGCCGAAACTTCGTATATATACAACCGCAGTAAAGATGCGTATTAAAAGAAAAAACCCCACTGAATTCAAACATGGTAGCGGGCCACCCTATACTGTAGAGCGGGCCACTTATGCCACAGTATCCCCATCCTAGTCCTGCAGTTTATATATCAACAGAAATAAATACTATATACTAATATAGTTTGAATTACTATAGCGCGTGGAGACCAGACTAAGATAGTTTAATGAAATAACAAGATTGATAAATGGAAGTGAAAGTTAAGTTAAGAAGATATACAAAGCAATGACGAATTATACATGTTGAAAACCGATAAGAAATTACTGTACATTACATAACCAGCTGTAGTTGATATACTTGGAGGAGGAGGAGGAGGTGACCAGGCGCATCGTAGAATGTAAAGCACACTTGCATCTTGAAGGAAGTTTTATTTTATTTCAAAGACTGCGATGAGCTGTTGTCACTACCTTTACATCTGTGTTGTAGTCGGTAGCCTTTAAGTTAGATGAGCATTCGAGCTATTGCATCTGCGAGCGGTACTCTTGTTTAATAGACAGTACTGTATTTTATTTATTACTGATAGGAAGGTAGATGTGAATCATAGCTCTTTTATGTGTTGTCTAAATATTTATAGACGTATCTGACGTATCTACTACTACTACTACTACTACTACTACTACTACTACTACTACTACTACTACTACTACTACTACTACTACTACTACTTTTTTTTTTTTTTTTAAATGGCCTCCAGCCTCCCCCAATAGCCACACCTTCGCCACCATTTATTTACCTACTACTACTACTACTGCTACTACTACAACTACTACGCCAAACATTCTCTTTCAGTTTAGAATTCGGTCAAAGGAGTAGATAATAGGAGGTAAATGTTAGGTAGAGCATATCCACTGTCACCTTCTCTTTTGTTACAGCCGACACTGGAACCTTGTGTCGCTTCTGTATACCTTAGCTTCTTGGCATTCCCGGCATCATTTTATAAACCATTCAGTGCCTGTGAACTCTGAATACATGACCTCCTGAGTTAAAGTTTATTCTAAATATGCAATTCAGTCTGTGTTGACTCTAATTTATTTTTAAGTTTTAATTTTAGTGGTGTAGTTTATTCGCTTGTGTTTTCTAAAAGTATATACTGTAGTAGAGAAATATTTTGAGTACGTATGATATCAGTTCGCGCGTTGGACCCATGTTTTTCAACCTCAAAATCCTGCTATCTCGCTCTCTTGTTTTCCCCCGCAATGTTGCTGTTGGTAACTTTTACTTTCCTTTTACTGTTAGTTTATAGCAAGTGATAACGGACTGTAAAGGTTAAATGGGCTTTATTAGGTTATATGTCAGTAGAACGATGAGATATAAAACAAATACAAATAAACTAGTGCCGGTGTTCATAGTATCGTGAGTATTGTAAATATTTTTGATAGTGTCAGTACTCCCAAGCTGGCGCAGATTTTAAGTGTAGTCACATGGCTGTTAGTATTAATGTAGTAATGTTAGGGAAGCAGAATAAGCTTTAATTATGTGTAACTGTTCTAGTCGTGAGAACCAAATGTATTGAAAATAATGGAATTTCGTGTATAGTAAATCTCCGGAAATTTACTGCACGAAATAAACAAGTTAGTATAGTGTGTGTGTTGTACTTGTTCCAAAACATTTATATTAAGAAACCTGTTTTGAGTACGTGAATTAGGGATGGCAGTTATTTCCAGTGGTTGAGAAAAGGATTGGAGTTTTTAAATGTAAATTTGTTTTGCATTTGGCTTACATATGGTCCTCGAGTAAAATATAATTGAATCCATAACACTCATATGTATATACTGTATACATTAGATCGAATTACCACTGTAATATTATTTCTTTCCTTACTCAACCTATTTTTTGCATTACTTTTGTTTCACGTACGAGTCATGACAAGTTCATTAACTAAGGTGTTCAACACTGCTTCATTAATCAGGATCACAGTGCATAGGAGCGCCGTCACTGTCGCCTTCATTAAGGTTCAGTTGCATTGTACTCCGAGATTTTCACCTTCCTTTGTCCTGCTGTGACAACATTTGTCATTTGGTTTCACTTGTACTCTGATACTGAACTGTTTTACGTATATTGCACTTTCACTTTATAAATTATTATTTTTTTTTACCTCTTCACAGTTAGTTATTTCTACCAATATTCACGTATTTGGTAAACTCTTATCATATATATTTTTATATTTTATTTTTACTTCCAGACCTTAATACAGTACAGGGTAGTTAAAGAAGTGTTATTTTGACCAGCTCAGCGTTCTTTCCATTAGTTTTTTTTATATTACACCAGTTTATTTGTCTTCAAATTAGTTTTTTCTTTAGCACTGTCTGTCTGTTTGTCTTTTTTCGAACTGTAACTCTGATATTCATATACTATACAGTACTGTACAGTAAACCAGACGGCACAAGCACCTCACCTCTAGGAAGAAGAAAGTCCTTCCTTATTTTAGGGTCACTGCAGGCGTATAATGTGCCCTGATGCCGCACTCTTGTTTTAACTATTGCTCATCTTCTTCATGTATTTCACTTCCGTCGTTTACTAAAGACAGTTTCTCCATCGTCCAGTGTGCAGGAGGTGTTCAACATTGTAACAATAATAATATTAATAAAAATAATGATGTGCTTAATTTTGAAGATTCATTTTATAGCTTAAATAGAATATGTCTGGTAGGGAAATTGATACAGAAGAAAAAACTATGATTAAATAGAGAAAATAGGGCCTCTAAGGTACATATAGGAAAGAAAAGATAGCCTATGTAATATGTCGAAAAATGGAGAAATGGGTCGGATAATTTATGCAGAGATATACAGTATTTAGGATTAAAAGGTCGCACTGGAGGAATTTAAAAATATAACTTGAGATACATTCATATTCATGTTTAATTTTTTATAATTTACCTGTTCGCGACCTAGATTTGGGTTGACGGGGAGTGTCACCGCTGCCATCCGTCCGTGTGTTAGTTAGCTTCTGTTTGTAATCAAGATACCCGAATCTCTTGAAAGGTCTTACGCAGCCACTTCATACCATAGGTTCATCGAGTCAGCCTTCGGGATGACTTTGTAGATTATTATAGTTAATCTCTTGAGGATCATGAGGTCACGTGAGTGGCTGGAGGAGTATATACCACCGCTATGTACATTCTTATTATCATGCCCTAAAAAAAAAAAGTCGTGGTTCTACAGGATTAAGGTTATGCCCCGTTCCCGTGCACGAGGAAACATGAACAGTAGTGTGTTAAAAAAATGGTGAAATGCAGTGACAGATTTATTGCTGAAGACGCTTTATAATCATATATCTTAAAAACAAATTGTTTGTGAGAGATACATCCGAGGAACAACAGTTTAATGAGTCACTGTTATTGGCCAGTTAAACCACTTAAAGATCTGATGAAGTAGGCGATACAAGGTCAGTGTATTGTGTATAAGATAACTCATTGTATAGTTTTATTTAGAGAACAAACAATTATTTTCTGTACTGTATAAAACCCAATTCGTGGCAGTAGTTAATGTCATTAGTTTATGTCCGTAAGTTACTATACTTTAATTTCATGTTTGTGAGTAAATTTAACTTAAAATCAGTGTTCTATTGTCAGTGAATACATCAGTTACTGGTATGCTCTAAAAAATAATTACATTACCATATCCCAGGATGAAATACACATAAATAAAAAAGCTATTGGAGCAGTTTATATACAGGAACGATCATGTAGATAATCGTAATGCAAACTATAGCTAAACAAGTAAGAGATTTAGGTTGGTTATGCCGTTGTACTAAACGATGTCTTATGTGAAACTGAACAGATTTGACCGTACCCGTATAAGAACCAATTTCCTATATCTTGTGGCAATTAATACAAAGTTATCCCTGTTTGAGAAACGATTCAGTTGTATTTTAAAGCTTGATCAGACGATTATGCCTACTGTATATAGGTTCTGTAGTAGACTTGTGGAGAGGATAGATAATAGGGATGCTATGTTGCTTCATTATGAGGTGCCAAGTAGAGACCTGAAGGTGTATTGTCGCCGTTGTCAGGAGTTTTGGGGTGACTTGTTTCTGAGATGGTTGCTCTGTTGTTACTATTGAAATCCGCAATATTCAAGAGGTTACCAACACCGCCAGATTGGGAGTTGACGTTATCAGAGGGAAGGATGTATTCTACGTTTGGGTTACTAACACCAGTCTGTAGTTCCAGTGGCACTCCAGCTTGGCTAGTAGAGTCGCTGAGGCTCGCTAGATATTCATCGGATATTTTCACTTCGCCGCCGCTCACTAAAATTGCATCATTCTTTGAAGGCGTGAAGACCTCATGTGTTGGAGGGAAGTAACTTTCGCCGGATTTATCCACTTCCTGCTGTTCCAAAGACATTGCAACAATACCTGTGTTGCCATTAGAATTTCCTCCGTCGTCAATGGATGAAGGGTCATGGTCAGTGCTGGGATGGGTTTCACCATTCTGCAGTCCTAAGTGAATTGGAACACTTTCTCCATTACTTGCAAAGTTATCGTAGTTTACAACGTTTCCATCTCCAATGTTTGTCTCATTAATGTTTACAGAGCCATCACCAACTTCCAAGCTTTCGGCATCATCCTCAGTAAATTGTTCAGCACCAACAATTAATTGACTGTCGCCTTGGACTGCTGAGTTGAGGGCGGTCTGGAAGTCTATACCACCAGGCAGGGTCGGGTTATCTCCTTCACCATAGTTGATGAAGTATACTTCGGGGCTCTTAGACGGAGGTGCAGGGAATTCGATGACCCGCTGACCCTGGTCTGATTTGTTGCTGAGGATATACACAGTGTTCCTCTGCCTGGGGGGCGGCACGATGATGGGTTCAGGTCCTCTCTGGCCGGCTTGGATGAACAAAACATTATGGTTTATTTTGGGTGGAGGGATCACTGGTGGTGGGCCATATACATGTGATTGTTCAGGAGCGTTGAATAGGAACAAGTGACGGGTGATCTTAGGAACTACACATCTACCATCTACATGAAGGATTTCACCATCTTTGCAGTCATTAATGGAGTTGTTCGAACCAGACGGCTCAGGCAGAGTGTAACCCTGAGGTGCAGCGGACGTGACTGCCATAAGAGATGAAACCAAGGTCTGTAGAACAGAAAAATGATAGATGTAAAAGAATGTCTAATTCCTCCCTCATCTACGATTGACTGACCCGCGATTTTTACGAAAACTATACTGTATAGCTAACCAAAGACATGACTCAAGTAAAGGATATAACGTAATACAAATTTAATTGAAAAGTGACCGAGAAAAAGGTTGTGACGATGTTGAGAGTTATATAAATGTTTTCGTGTCAGACCCTGAAAACAGAGCTGTCGTGGTGTGCTACGAGAGACTTGTTAGCATATTGCCCACTCAAAACTCCAGAAGTTAGTTTTTCCGGCATTGTATACGAGCATTGTACTCTCTGTCGTAATGGAAAAATCAATGGAAAATAATTGAAAATTATTAATTCACTCTGAAATCTTGAAGTTATATCGACATGTATTGACAAAAGATAAACCAGTCATCAGAACTGATAAAACTAAAAAAATTACCCGCTGCAGTTTGGACAAGTTTATTTATAAGCAAAACGCAGGAGGTACAGCCTGCAAGGAGGGAGTTAGACCTTTTTATTGTCTGCTCCACCCGGGTCTGATAGCCAGTCGAGCAGGATTAATACGTATTATGTATTTATCTTTTATTTTACATTATTAGCTTTTGTTTTCTGCGTAAAGTTGCGTAGATGAAGATATTCTGACCTCTGCACCGAATTAAAGTAATAATTTATAAAGATATAGAAAAACAGTGACTTTGAAGTATCCTACGGGGAAAACACCATCCAAACAGTTCACTGATCAACACGGGACGCGAGTGTATCTAGTTAACGCTTAGTAAACTTTAATTATCATTGAATTTACGCTACAGTGGAAGAGTTTAGCAAGGAAGACTCACCAGAAGCTTCATGGTGGAGTGTGGTGTCTGCCGAGATGGTTCACTGCCTTATATATACACCTCCACTCTCCCTCTTCCTCCTCTCCCTTGTCCCCTCCCTCCTTCCCACTGCCTGGACATGAGAACCACTCACCCTGTAGTATGTTATTGTGTAAGGTCACTGATTAAAGGTCAATGGATTCATCTAACTTAATTGTTTTTCATCCAGTATTTGTATCACGTGTGTGTACACATACATACATACATACATACATACATACATACATACATACATAGTACAGTATACATATAAATCAAGTTTAATAGGGATGATCGCCAATTAAGTTTTAAAAAACATCTGACGTTTTTGCCAAATAAGTATTACATTTTGTATTTATGCCCACAGCTTAATGGAAATGAAGTCCCATATGGCAAAAGTTGTTCCGTTTCATTTAAGACGACGTGTACCTTCATAAGATAGCCTAATTATATCGGAAATAGGTTTGGTTAGGTTATGTATGAAACTATTCATATACAGTATACTCGTATGCATTGTCTACAACTCTACATTATCGTTTGTGGCCAGTAGAAGTGTTCATAAAGAATAATTACTTAAAAGTTACCGCTATTTTGTAATGGTAAATTGATGTGAAACACTGGATCAGCGTTTATGGTAAAGATTCTTATGGTCTACATCCTGAATTAATTGATAATGTTTCTTTAAGTTGATGTAACTCCTTTCCTGTCATTTCCACCACTCGAGTTATAATATTATCCCTATTATTTATCCTATTTTTTTAATGTCTATCCCATTCTTTACCCCAAACACAAGTGGGGAAGAGAGATGAGTCTATGGATTGGGATAGTTTTAGGAAATTAATGGACAGAGAATAAACCTAAAAGTTCAGGAGGACAACAGAAAACTATTTTAGATAATTGTTAATAAACTTGTTGAATTTAGTTTACCGATCGGATAACAAGTGGAGGTTTGACCTACCGTATAAATGATGAAAAAATACTAATAATGAACTTGTGTGGGATGATGTTTGACACACCTGTAAAGACACTACAGAGGAGGGGCCGAGACTTACCAGTTTTGTGTTTATAAATGCTTTTGATAATGGCCCCCCCCCGCCCTGATAAATGTGGATGTTTTAGTGAAGAAAAGCAAAATTCAGCTAGGACATGCGAGTTCCTCTCTAGACTCACTCGTCTAGAGGAAAATTAATGGAGAATAAAGTAATGAGGGAAAAAAGGATGAGCAGATTGGTTTGAAATTTGTGAATGACCAGATCAGCCAACTCCAACTTGTAGATACTAGTTCAGCTTAGTGACAGGAAAAGTGAAAGTGGGTTCCATAGTCATGACTGCCTGTTAAGGACAATGTTAATACAGACAGTGCTGTATATTAAGTCTTCGTTACGCAAGGGGGCAACATGGGTGACACTGCACTCGACGTTCTTCACTTCCCCAAATTGTGAAGTTAGGTGGCCTTTTACAGATGGCTGGACTGAGACTGCATCTGGATCAAACCAGTACTCCTTAGGACAGGAAGATAGCAATACCCACTGGGCCGCGTCTCCTTTTATAGGGAAACTAAGCAATGAAAAATTCGTTATTTTTTTTATTTTTTATTATTCAGTAAGTGTATTAAACATTCATACCAACCAAAGAAAAATTAATGATTGTAGATTAAAGCGACTGGAGAAATTGTGACGGTTGAGCCGAGATTAGAGCTCAGGGCGAAAAGGAAGCACTCTTGTGTGGTGACACTATGTACACACACACACACACACACACACACACACACACACACACTTATGACTTGGTTGACAATCTGTCTTATCCGTGAAAACTGGTAAACGCATTGCCTGGGTTAAAGAAGTATTAAATATATTATCATGTACCTGTATTTGAAACGCCGCAAATTGTATGTGGAAGCAGAGACAAGTTCACGGAGAGAATTGCGAGGTGCAAGTTGTAAAGAAGGTATTAGTAATTATAGTGTGTCAACGGTGAATTGATAAGGAGAGCTAAAATATATTATACAAATGAAAGCTAAAGTGTTACAGGATGGCTATGTATAAAATGGAGGTGGGAGTTTGGATCACGCATGGGGGGGGGGGGTGATTTTCCCTGCCTTTAAAGGTAAATTAATTTCGTAAACCTGAGTCATTAGGGAAAAGATGCCTGGATATGTTGAGATTGAAGGAGTAATGACGTGAGTTGTAAATAAATGTGAATAAATACTGATAAAATGTTTCTTGAACTTGTAATTCTCAATAAAAGGTTTTAATTGTTTGTCTTATAAGGCTCGGGCTGTTAACATTTTAATTGTAACTGTTGCTTCAGGTTAGATTTTGTCAAGTTTTAGGGAACAGTTGAAACTCGTATCCATTGCAGAGAAGGATGATATGGACGATACGAGTTATTTTGTTCCAAGAGATAAGTTACATTGAATCTTGGGTTCTGATTTAGGACACATTGGCGATAGAGGTGTAGAAGTAAGTGTATTTTACCTGCGAGACATGGGTAGCCTTTGACTTTTAGAGACATAATCAAGTAGGGGTTTAATGTTACCGCAGTTTGAGATGAGAGTGGAGGTGGTGTGCTGGTGATCTATAGACAGACAAATGGTTAACGGTGTGCTGAATATAGTGTGAGCTTGTTGATATGTAAATATTTGTACAGAGTTTCTCATGGTTTCTAGTCATCGAGAGGTCATTACTAAGTTAAAGTTAGGCTGAAACAAGAAAACAACGTTGGCAGCATTAACTAAGAATAGTAATTCATTCATGATTGCACAAATACTAAGGTTTGATCCAGGTAATAACATAGAAAATAGTCATGAAGGAAATTTGACATGGACCTCCTATCAAATTTCCAAAGGCTTTTAAGGTATCTAATGAAACGGTAGGTGTTAATTTAAAGTTATCACGAACAGGCAAATCTGATGAAGGAGGAAAGATGTTCTGCAGTGGAATGGTCTCTAGACGAGGGTCAGATTGCTTGTCAGAGGTGTGTAGAGAAGGGATATGGTAACCTGGGCCGAGGCTGGAATTTGAGCAAAAATAGAACATCACAGTGAGATTTACCATTTTTATACTGATTTGTTTTGTATATGTAGTTACAGCGGTGATGATAGGAGGGGTAGAATATAAGAGGAGTGTGTTTGTGTGTTGTGCAGATGTGTGTACAAGGACCAAACGTATGTACTGTGTGGCGTGGTGACCTATTTTTAAGGTAGGTTCATGTAACTTAGAATATACTTTTTACTCTTAACGTATAATTGATTTTAGAAAGACAAGGACAGGGAGACACAAAGGAATATTTAGCCGATAGCATCGTTGAAAGCATTTACATGTTGAAAATTCCTCCCTTGCAGTATCTAGTATATGCTAGGCTTTGAGTTATCGTTGTGCCTCGTTGTGCAATTCATTCCTGGGCTTTGTAGTCTAAGTAAGCAGGTCTTTGTCTTGTGCTTGTCCCAGATTATGACTTTCTCGACAATTGCTTCCATGCATCACGTACTAGGGTTTAAAATTCAAGACCAGATACTTGGTGTGAGCACAGTTGGGTACAGGGAGCTGTTACGTCAACATGTACTAACTATACGAAGAGCTCGCCCTTGTCGTCTTACTAGTAATTACAGTACATAAGCTTGTCATGTCTAATGCTTAAAGCGATATTTACGTACTTTAGTTTTTTAGGTGGATTTTGTATAAATTAATGGAACAGCGAACTCGTACTTTGCAACGAAGATTTCAATGAGAGAATATTTTGTCTGCCATACAAGAGCTGTGGTTTAGCGTATTGTGCATCTGTTTTAAATACTAACTACTACTTTTGTCTATTTGTTTTGTGTGGATATCTATGTCTGCCCTTTGATTCTCTTGACAGGGAGTAATTATGATCCATTGGGAAGACCAGGATAATAGGAGGATTGGCAAGTGACCTCTTATATGGGAGTTCTCACGGGGTGATTTGGTTACTCGTGGATGGAGGAGCTAAAGGGGAAAAATTTATGTAGTCTTAATATGTTTTACGCTCGTGGAATATCAGATTTTTATAGGGATAATTTGCGTTAGGATTTGCTGTTTCGGGATAAGTTATGGTGGTCTAATGTTATAATTCTTTTGATGATTAGAAGCCTGCTTGTTAAATGCATTACTTGTTGGTAATACTGTATTAACTTAGCATTGGTTGCATAAATATGAAACAAATTATACAAAAATATTAACTCAGGTTTTAGGTGCAGGTAATGTTTTAAATAATGTTACTATAATTAAAAGCAAATATTTGGAATGTTGCATAAAAAAAATATTGAAATATAAAGATATTGACGCGCGAGATTATATCATATGCAATAAATTGTGATTATATATATATATATATATATATATATATATATATATATATATATATATATATATATATATATATATATATATATATATATATAATGAAACATTGTCAATGAGTTTTAGATAGATTCTTTTATGTAAATACAGATAATCTTTACTCCCATATATCTTTGGTGATTGGCTGTTTTCATTCTCAGAAATTTCGAATTGTTGAATGAAAAAGAAAAATTCTGTACTCTACCAAACGGGGAACAAATTTTCATTCACTTGTATATTGTTTATTGGTTTCGACGTGTTTAATAATATTTTCCGGACTTTATTGAGATTTTCTTTTGTTCAGAACCAGCAATATGTTACTCCCCAAATAAGAGAGAGAATTATTTTACGTTTAATTATTTACAACTAATGTCAGACGTATTTAATGGCGTCCATGACTAATATCTTAACTAACATGCGCACTTTAAAGATCCTTATTGTTCAAACGCAGTAATATAGTTTACCATCAACATAAAAGAACACAGCTTTTATTACTTTTGTGATTCAGCATTTTATCTTGGCCGTGTGAATCTCAGCAGCCCATCCAAGTCCCGGGAAGACGAGACGATGGCTGGGAGTTCTGAGAGCTGGCATGTTTTTGTTATTAATTTATCAGTCTTGTACGTAGCAGGAAGGTGAT